GTTTTGGAAATTGTCATAAATTTAATTTTTTTAGCAATAATCGTTAGTCCGCTTTCCTCACTAGCATTTACTACATTATCTAAGAGTGTTTGTAGATCTTGTATATTCTCTCCAATTAGTATAGTATTATCGGCATATCTGATATTCTTGATGGGTCTGTCGTTGACTTTTTATTCCAATTGTTAGATTTTCGAGTGATTTTTTAATTATTTCTTCCGAATATTCGCTCCGAGGGTTAACAAAGTGTCAAAGCAAAATCGACTGACTTGCTCATGGTGGAGATTGCTTGAAATTTTATCAGGACGCTTTTGTGCATGGGACAATGAACATATTCATTGTACCATGGATGTTGATCATTGGTTGATCATGTATATATAACCTCACTTTCGTATATTATGTTAATAAATATTTATTAACGACAAAAAATATTTTTGTTGATCTATAAATGTCACTATAAATAGATAACTAATTAATTCTAAAAATTGTATCCGGATATTAACACTACAAAATAAAATATTTAAGTTTAACAAAATAATCCTATAAGACTCAATACTAAAAGGTCCTCACAAATCTGACAGCGTGTCACGTGACTGTAAATAGAGGGAGACCCACGGAGCGAATAGATTGAACAATAAGGGAAGAGTATGCTACCTTGCCTTACGCCTCTTTTTATCTCTACTTCCTCCGAAAGTTCTTTGTATACTCTGGCTTTTGTTGTTTGGTTAAAGTAGAGATGGTAAGTCTTTTTTGTCCATGTGTTTATGTTTAAGTAACTGTATAAAATGGTTGTGTCGGACCTTACCGAACGCCTTATTGTAATCAATAAAACAAACAGAGTGGTTGGTTTACATCCATACATCTTTGCATGAGGACGTTAAATCCAAATAATGCCTCTCGTGTACCTATGACATTCCTAAATCCAAATTGGGTTTCAGTGATGTTTTGTTCCGCTTTTCTCACAATTCTTAAATGGATAATTTTTAAGAATATTTTTAGTGTGTAACTCATTAGACTAATTATACGGTGGTCATTACATTCCCTTTTATTAGGTTTTTTGGTAATGCAATAAATGTTGATTTGAGCCAATCTTTCGGAATAATACCCGTATATAGTATTATATAAGTCTACTAATACATTGATCTTTGGACTAAAGATAATTAACGTTGGATACATTGGACTAAATTAACATACTAAGAATAATTGTAGAACAGTCACAGGAATTCAACTCTCCTCTCTTTGTGTGCTTTGTGGACTTCAAGAGAGCTTTTGACACGCTCACACATACGGCCATATGGAAAGCACTGCAGGAAATAGGAATTCCAGAAAAAATAGTAAATCTCATCAAAGAACTCTACAGTGGCACAGAAAGCAAAATCCTACACAACGGCATAACATCTGACCCAATAGCTATGCTAAACGGAGTAAAGCAGGGCTGTGTTTTATCCCCCATGCTATTTAACATTGTACTGGACTCCGTACTAACAAAGGTCAACTCTAATAGAGGAATTTACTGGGGATTAACAAACAGACTGGAAGACCTAGATTACGCTGATGATATATGCCTCCTAGCACATACAAAACAGGACATGCAACTCCAAGTAAACAAAGTACAAGAAGAATCAAAGAAAGTTGGTCTAGAAATAAACATCAACAAAACCAAAGAAATGCGATTTGGTACCAGAAACAACCAACCTATTATGATCAACGACCAGAAAATTGAGAGAGTAGCGGAATTTGTATATCTGGGCAGCATAATTGACTGTAATGGGGGTACAGAGCGTGATGTACATGAAAGAATAAATAAGTCTCACAACGCCTACAACATGCTTAACAACATTAGAAATCCAGGATTTACCCAACTAAAACGAAATTAAAAATCTTCAACACAAATGTAAAAGCTGTATTACTGTATGGCTGCGAAACGTGGAAGATATCAGCACCCATAGTACACCAATTACAAGTTTTCATCAATAGAGCGTTACGAAAAATCCTTCGTATATTTTGGCCTAACCGAATCTCCAATGAAAATTTATGGAACCAAAGCAACCAAGAAAATGTCATAAAGCAAATAAGGCGAAGAAAATGGAGATGGCTGGGCCACACACTCCGTAGACCGCCAAATGACATTGCCAGGACAGCGCTGGATTGGAATCCCCAAGGCCGACGGAAAGTAGGCAGACCTAAGGGAACTTGGAGAAGGACAGTACTGGACGAAGGGGGAAAATGGGAAAATCCTGGCTTGAAATCAAAGCACTAGCCAGAAATAGAGTTCGCTGGAGACACTTTGTGGAAGCCCTATGTTCCTCTTAGGAATCTTGGGACTATATATATATATATATATATATATATATATATATATATATATATATATATATATATATATATATATATATATATATAATACATTGATCTGATCTTCTGATATTAATTTAATTAGTTCAGTTGAAATTATGTCAGGCCCCGCAGTTTTATTAGATTTTGCCAGATTTATTGCATGTATTATTTCAATCTTAGTTATATTTGGACCTATATCATATTCCTCGCTTCATGCTATCTTGTCGTGTCCTGTCATCCTCAAACAATTCTTGGACGTATTATCTCTATCTGTTTAGTTTGCCTTTGATATCAGATATTATTTTACCATTCATATCAACCAGGCTGTTACTATTGTTGGACCGTCTTATACCTGCTAATTACATACTTACTTTTCTTGTGCAATTCAAAACTATCATTATTTCTCTGGAGTGCTTCTATTTCTAAATATTTGTCGTTGTACTATTTCTCGTTAGCTGCCCGTATTTTATGCTTATCTCCTTGTCTGTGACTTTGTATTCGTTTACATTTTTGTTTTTGTATGATCTTCTTTTGTCCATTAGTTGCCGGATCTCATCTGTCATCCATGGAGTCTTAGCTTCATCGATTTTGTGACTACTCACCGTAATTGGCATCATTAATGTGTTCTTAAATATTTCTCATTTTTTGTTGGAATCTTCATTATCAATTATTATGGTTTTGCTTAACTTTTCGTTAATTTTCAACGTTAGTTCTCCTTTTATATTCGGGTGTTTTAGCAAAGTGCTTATTTGTTCTGTCTTTTGTTGATTTTTTATTTTCTTTAAGTGGATTTCGAATTTTACGATTACTGGATTGTGGTCTGATGACACATCTGTTCCTGGATATGTCTTCGCCGATTTGATGTAGTTACGGTATCTCTTATTGATAAGGATATAATCTATTTGGTTTCTGGTAATGTTTTCTTTGTTATCCGCAGGTGATTTCCATGTATATAATCTACGTGGTGGTAACTGAAAGAATGTATTTGTCGCTATCATTTCAAACTCCTGACAGGATTCCGTCAGTCTTTCCCCTCTTTCGTTCCGTATTCCTAGTCCGAATTCACCAATAATGTCTTGGAATTTACCTTTTCCTAATTGTTTCTTTGGAGATTAATTACAGTTTATTACTAGAAATGTTTTTTGGCAATTGCCCTTTGATAGATTAGCGGATAGATTTGACAATCGTCAAATCAGCAGTTACCAGATTGAAACAGATGTTTGCAAATCTCTCGAAAGAGACAAATATTTATTTGTTATTGTTTCACATAAATTAAAAATTGCAGAATTCATAAAATAGTATAATCAAAATGTACTTTTGTATTTGAAGCATGCAACATATGCATTATAAAAACATCTACTGCCAAACCCAAATATTTTATTTCATGTTTGACATTTGCGGCTATATTCAGCTTGTACTTTCGGTAAACTCAACCGGATTCTGTGACAATTTACGACCATAGATAAAGAATAGATATTACGGGATATTATGTTTACGACGAATTCAACTTTAAAATCATCCAAAAGTATATTTTTAACATTACACGAATTATAATAAACTAAAAATGTTTAGTTAATACGCACATTCGTTAATTATTTTTGCTCTTCAACTCGCAACAAACCCAGTTTGCTCACACATTTTAATCGATTGCTTTTTAAACCAACGTTGCGATGAAGAGTATTAAATAATTTTATTATTACCAAAGTATATTTACCAAATAGCCAAATAGAATGCATTTACAGTTTTAAATGAAAGAAGATACACATTTGTTATCATTTTCTTATCGTCTAGTTCGTTTTCTCTTTCTCATTTTGCTTTTAATCAATTCGGTATTACAGTACTATTGACAAAAAATGATGTCCTTTACTAAAATTGTCATTTTTATAAAATGCGACAATCTTAATCATTTAAAACTGTGAATGTTGCGTATAGTATGCGTTCGAGTAAATTTGGAGATACTTTATAAAGAATATTTATAAAGTTACTATAATTATCGTAGTATGCTGTAAAATTCATTAGTATTTATAATCAGTGGGGCACAGAAGATCAATGAAATCAGATGATCTGTTACCAAATAAACAATATCTACATATTTTCCAAGAAAAAAACTGTCATATTCACGATAAACAACTAATAGCTCATCTGTTGTTGGGAATTATAGTATTTTTCACAGTAAAATCATTGTACGTCACGATTTATACAAAGTGACGTCACTTGTATTTAAAAGGACCCTAAGTGAGAGCGCCCACCAAAGTGGCGTGGCACGTAGCAAGTGGCAAGTAGCACGCGTCTAGCATGTTTCTTAAAATGTAACCAATGAAAACGAATGATTCAGCGTACACCAAAATGACAGTGACGTCATTCATTCAAATCATTTGTTTTCGTTGGTTACATTTTAAAAAACATGCTAGACGCGTGCTACTTGCCACGCCACTTTGGTGGGCGCTCGCCCTAACGTCAACGTTAGGGAGAGCGCCTACCAAAGTGGCGTGGCAAGTGGCACGTAGCAAGTAGCACGCGTCTACAGTGTTGCCATGGTAGTCAAGAAAATTTCACCACACTAGCTACACAAAAAATCACCACTTTTCACCACTGTTAAAAATGGCGGCAAATTTGAAATATTTTTAACATAAAGAAAGAAATGTGTAATTCAATTAAATATTAAGGACTTCCTCGAACATATGGCCCCGGCAACATGGTCGAAGAAGAGAGTGCCGCGAATTGCGATTTAATTAAAACTTGCAAAGGTTGCGAAAGAAATGTTACCACTATTGTGAGATGTGTAACGTGTGACGCAGTTTTCCATCCATCTTGTGCTCTAAGGGTAGCTGGATTGGTAGTTGTTGGCAAAAATAACTTAGTGAAATGCTGTGCTACAGAAAGTGAGGTTATACCAGAACAAAACCTATGCACGTTGCACGGTTTGTTTAATCTGAAATTTCGAGGAATTCAACACGTTAAGCTATAGTTATGCTGTGGGAGTTATCTTCTTGAAATACATTATTCCAAGTTATTTTACGGTTTTCACCAATAGGTAGCATACCCCTAATAATAAAAATGCGGATTAGTTTTAATAATATTTATTTCATATCAGTGTTTAATATTATGTATATGTATATATTTTAAAATGTGTACTTAAGTTTATTTTTTGATAATTAGATTTGAGTTTTTCACCACTTTCCTGAACTTTATAAGCGATATTCACATTACTACATTTTTATCATCCCGGCCGCGATTTTTTTCTTTTTACATGTGCTGAAAATTCACCACTGATGGCAACTCTGCGCGTCTAGCATGTTACATAAAATGTAACCAATGCAAACGAATGATTAAATCGAATGACGTCACTGTCATTTTGGTGTGTGCTGAATCATTCGTTTTCATTGGTTACATTTTAAGTAACATGCTAGACGCGTGCTACTTGCTACTTGCCACCTGTCACGCCAGTTTGGTGAGCGCTCCCACTTAGAGTTGAAATTTCCCTAACACAGCTAAAAATACGACTCCCATACGGAGTTCCTCGATCTTTCATACTCGTCCACATCGTATTATAATAAGAAAAATGTAATCGTGATTACGTTGGCAATTTTAGAATTATATTGAGTAAATATACAAAAACATTTCTTATTATTATAAATTTTGTGCAACAATTGAATGGTGGGCCATAACAATGTTGTAAGCGACAGAATTGAGATTATGCAAAAGATGAAAATAACATATTGACAAGTGATTTATGAAAATAAGCACTGAAAAAAGTCAATTTCACTTAACAACAAGATAAAATTATAGATGTGTAAATAAAACAGAAAAAAATGGTTTCAAAAAAATATCCCAACAACAATGTTGTATATACTGGATATATAATAGTGTTGCACCTGATTACAAAAAAGTTATATTAATAATAAACTATAATCAATTCAAAATGTTTATTAATATGTTTTATATGCTAAGTACACAGTTTAATGCTCCTTAAATTTAAACTTAAAAATAATGTTCCATCTTATTCTAATATTTCATAAAACTCTCGGTATTCGGGTTTCAGGTACTGACATATATCCAGTAGATTTTTGCGTTTTTCTTCTTTTATTTTTATAGACCCGGTACACAACATTAATTTGGTAGTTGAATGCTCTGATGGCTTGTGCAGCCCATTTTTATTCACAAGTGTTTGGTTGCCAAGGTTGCATGACGTTGTGAAAAGTTCTAGCCATTATTCTCGTAAGATTATCGCTGTCGAATTTGAACCAACGGTACTCAGTACACATTTGGGATCTTTCCATAAGTAGTTCTCACATGCTGAAAAGTCTTTGAAGTCTTTTTGCTCCATGTAGTACACATTGAAGGTATTGCTGGGAGGTGAGTTGGCAATCACTGCCACCCAGTCGAAGGGTACATTCACCATTGCTCTTTTTTTCTTTCTCTCTATGAGCGAGGAGTCACGGTCGCAAGGTGAAAAGCTGTGACCGCTAGTTAAAAACTTCTGTTCTACTTGAATGAGATATCTATTTACAATCAGCTAACGGAACATGGACAGAATTCTCCAGTTATTATTCTGGCCGACGCATAGGTCAGACCAAAGCATCAGTTTTTTATTTCTCCTGAATTCAATGGACGAAAGTTTTATGTAACACAGGAAAGCTGAAGCGCTATCTGTAGAACCACGATTACCAATAAATTCATGCCACAACATCATAGTGACATCGTTTGAACCTGCATCGTGAATACCATAGTTGTAAGTGACATACTGACATTGGTAGAACACAGAAGAGTCAATGTTGGACAGTACAACACTTGCTGAAGATCAGTGGAGAGTACGACGAGTTGTGGATTAGCCTTTTCAGCATCCAACTTCAATGCTTTGTATCCAGCTTCAGCACGTGCATGGTGGAGTTCACTGTCTACAAAAATAGCTTTTCTTTCTGGACCGTCTGGAGTAACCACAAGCTTGATACACATTTTATCACAAAATGTACACGTATCTGAGCGAGGAAGACCAAAGCGCAGATTAAAGTCTGATTAAAATATGTCAGTGTAAGTGCGCCAGGAAATATTGCATTGCATTTTTTCAAATTTAATTCAGCAGGAAGGCAGTTCTTCATAGATGCAGCGCGACTATAATGGTTTTCTTGTAAACGACTTTATGTGTACTCTTATATGTTTTTTGTCGGTTTCGTTGATGTTATTAGGCATATTATTGTGTTTTCCACGTTAATCACGTAGCGGCATATCTGTTTTCATCTTCTGCTGAATGTGTTGGATTCTTAGAGGTGTTATTCCAAATGCTTGACATATAGTTTTTTTGGCACACTGGTAATTTCTTCAGTCCAATCTGGATGTGGTATCGTATAGTACATTGTCGTCTGGAGTCCGTCTATGTTGTGGCTCTTGAAGTTCCATACAACTGGCCAGGTGCGCAGTTTGTGCATTATTAGTAATCCAGCCTATGAAATCTTGTGAAGAGATGTTTAAACTGACCTTGAATTTTAGCAGCTTCGCAAAAAGATTTGCACTTACATAGTCGCTCCTAAAATATAAAAATACTTATTTGTAGTTATCGAAAGATGATGAATTTCAAATCATACATTCATTACGGACGAGCACAGATCATAACAAAGCTAACGACAATGATAAGGCTACAAAAATGCGTTTCCTAACAAAATATACAACATTGTTGCACTCACCTCATGTGTACGGGGTATTTCTGGTACATTCTCGTTTCTAGCAGATACATATGCTTCATCTGCAATTCTCTGGTGCTCGCTTTGGTCTTTGTATATACAACAATATTGCAATAAAACCTCACTTTGACCCAATCTGTCGCTTAAAACATTGTTGCGTCCCGCCATTCAATTGTTCAAGTTTAATAATTCCAAAATAATCCTTCTAATCGTACGGGAGTGATACAGATGTAAACGAAACTCAAACCTATAGTAAGAATTCTGTTCATGTTTCTTTTCATCAGAATGCCCACTCTGCTTGAAAAAAATAAGTACGCGCGTCTCGTTGGCGCAGACGGAATCAACCATGTTTTAAACGGAACCAGTGCTGTTCAGTGACATTTTATCTGGTGCGCATAGAAAAATTAACCCGGTTTAATTTATTTACGGCAACCATAGACATAATATGCACTATTTTATTCGTACTTTTTGTTGAAGAATAGATTAAATTATTTCAAATGTACTAAATTATTAATCTCTAAAAACTTGTATTACAGTTCTGTCGTAGCTTGTCACAAATTTGTCAATTCGAGTCTATGTTTCCGTTTAAAACATGGCAATCGCGTGTTGATAAACTTCAAAGTATCTGAAAGTGGGCATTCTGATTGTTATTTATTCTGTGGTAGAGAACTGGTGATTTTGAAAACATGATTATTTTAGTTGACGTTTTGAAAATTCCTCATTTATTAACTATTCTGATGTTTTGACAACGCTGCGGGATTCTGACGTTACAAATCTTGATCGACGTGAATTGATTTTTGTATGAAAAATTCTATACATACACCATTTTAAAAATATAAAATATCTCCAAATAAAAATTCACTTAGTGCATGTATTAAGACGGTTATACTTTTGTTATATATTTATTTGTTGATAAAAGCAAGAAACTAAGATCATTTTAGTTAATGACAGATTTGAAAGTCTCACCAAATATCAGTCTCATATTTGGAAAGCTAATAGTAAAATCTGTCTGTTTATTTAAGCCAAAAATATGGTGATAAATTCGTTATTTCACTGTCAATGTCGATATGTTCAAAAACCATTACACATTTAACAAACATTTTTATGTAAACATCCATTTTACACATCTATGAACATGTTGATTTTGAAAACAAGTACTTAAAAATGAATCTCTTGCTGATAGTGTTGTTGTAGTTTAAGCAATATGTTGTTTTTTATGTTTTATTGAATAAAAGGTATTGAAATAAATAAACATTTTGTAATTCTTGTTTTATTGCAACTTATTACATTAAAAACCTTGTGTACTGAACTGATCATCTCAAAGACATCCCCAGTGTGATTTGTAAGAATTAAAATAGAACTCTTTAGTTAATCATCTTGTCATCTAATCATAAGAATTCTAACACATGAGCTTACATAAACAGATTTGCTTTAAAATTTGGATTCATGTTGCTCTTACCCTCATCAAAACCATTTTCGTTGTAATTAATTATGGAATTGGATTGGATATCTTTCAAGGTATCCTGGAGATTATCAAAATATAAATTCACAGACTGGTGAGAGACACCTGCAAGGACCCTCCTGATATTTTCATAGAGTGTCTGCGTTAGGGCATTCTTATGTTTGAAATAAAAAAGAATGGATACAGTAAATTGTTCTTAAATAGTCTCATTTTTAATGCCTTGAATGAAAAAGGGGATAGAAAAAGAACAAAAAACAGTATCAATAATATTAATTGATTAGGACACATATACAGATATAGTAAACTGAATAATTTACTATTATAGTAAATTGACGTTTTTATTGTGTATATACATTACAAATATTATTCCTGGAAATGTTTCTTTTGTATTTTTGAGTAAGTACACTCATCATCTCTTTTTAATTAATGAAAACAAACACACTATTTGTTTCTTCAAAGATGTGGTAAATAAACTTGGCCCATTCGATAAAATGCTATATTGTCACCACTGCAAATAGCAAATAATTCTGGTTTAGTTGAATTTGTGTTTGTATAGTTTATAGCATCTGATTCACTAAAAAGTAAAAATGTTGGTTTATAGTGCCTAAATTCTACACAAAGAACAAAAAATGTAAAACCTACCATATATACAAGTTAAAATCCCATTCAACTCGACTGCTGTTATTTTTTATAAATACACAATAATCTGGACTGGTTTCTAAAGCTTCTTTGGAACTATATTCCTTTGGGCAACTGTTTCTCAATTTCTCGAATATTCCTCTAATATATTCACCTGCTCTTTCGTCAGTTTCAGAATCATCTGAATCTTCCGATCTAATCCTTTTCTCTTGTACCTGATTATTTTCATCTTCTAATTTTCTTTTCCTGGTATCTGTATCACAATCTTTGAATTTTCTTTGGTATTTTTCCGTTATTTCTTTTCCTTACAACTTCACTATATCTTATTACCCTGTTTCCTTGTAGGACAAGTTTTTTTATAAGCTTGGTATTTGGTTAGCGTCATATTTGGTACATTTAGAACTATATCAAAGCATTCTTGAACAGTCAGTGGAACATTGTTCACAAAAAGTTCCATTTTATTCTGCAAATCATGTCATTCATTATAATATACAAAGTATTATCAAAAATATAAAGAATTTTAGACTACAATATGGACCAGAGAAAAACATTTTATGAGTTAATTTAAAAAAAGGCCTTTTGGAAAACTAGCTGTACTAGAATTTGTTTTCATATCATACCATTTCAACTAAGTATAACATTTCTTCAGGATACACATAAATTCCACTTTTATCTTGATAACCAAAGGTTTCTAAAAGTCCTTTTACAACTTTCTCTACTTTGGCCAGCTTAAGAGATGCAATCCATTCAGCTTTAGCTCTAGCACATCTAAAAATGTACACAAAAATAACAAATATTATATGGTTAATGGTAATTACAATGACTTGGTGATATCTTTTTTAGTTACCTTTGTCTACTTTTTTGTGTTTTAATGCAAATTCTAAAACCTCTAAGTTTTTGGTGACTAGTTCCTGCCTTTCCGTGGAGGTATCTTTAAAGAATTGCTTGGGACCAAGAAAATTTATTTTAGTTAAAGGATGTTTGTGATCATTGACTATAACTTTAGCCCTGAAAATCATATAGTTATCAATCGTTTATAAATAAAGTATTCATTTGCAGCTTACTCTTCTTCTACAGGAAGATCGTACATTGTAATATCGATTTAATATTTTTTTTATTTTAATAATATTTAATGCATTAGTAATGGTAATATGTGTTAGCTACGTAAAATCAGTGAAATTAAAAAAGTATTGTGTATTGTGTATATTGGGCATAAGTAGGGTTATGATAACGTTTTGGATAACTTCTACTTCTACCACCATAGATAAATTTACCTAGATTGGTAACAGAGATAGCCAAGGCCAAATCATGTTCGGATTTGGCGCCCATTCGTATGGTGGCGCTGCTAGTCTCTTTCCTGCGCGGAGGAGTGTGCTGTGGAAAATTCAAAGTTGAGTTTAGACAAATACGGCGCCATATTTGTATTTGTTTTATCTTTTATAATTTATTTTATAATTTAAAATTTTTTATATCAGTGGTGCAAAATGGTACAATTTTAGACGATTTTTTATTATGGACTCGAACACATTACATGGAATAACAATGTAGAGACGAAGATCTGAACAAAAAAGATGTGTTTCAGATTGCATGGATACTACTGGCAAACAAATATATTTTTTCTTATATGGATATGTTTGATAAATGGGAATGTTGTTAAGAGCCTAATTAAAGAATGCTGCAACAGAAACTATTTATAACAATTTTCGTGTATGCGCTAGTCATTTTAAAGAGGAGGAATAATAAATGTTGGACATACCGGTATTACGAGAACAGCCTTCTGAGTTTGTTTTTACAACACCAGGTAAGAACTATTATGCCAATATATGTATGTATGTGACCTTTTACTTATATATTAGTTAATTATAAATTTAACCTAAAATTATGTATTATAAAATCAGTCTTACTTGCTTACTATTTGAATTATTTTGTAGGTGGTGGTTCAACAACTATCTTAAAAAATCATCACAGTAGAGAGGGTTTTCGACATAATTTCTACAGGTGTGCGCCTTTCAAAGTTGGATTAGATTAGCAGACCATGACTACACTATCATATGGAAAGGTCTATGAGCTTGCCTGTTAAGTGCGAGGAGGGATCTGTCTGTGAGTGAGATTGGTCTTAGAGTACCATATTACCATGGTTTGTCTCATCTATGTACTTTTAATGTTCCATTTTGTAGAACAACCTAAATCTAAATGTATTTAATGTCTCTCAATAAATATATAAATATTAGTAGAAAAGAGTTACTGGTAACATATAGAGTTTGGAAACATAACTTTGTAAAATACTTCATGTTTTTATTGTAACTAGTAATACTTTACATATTTTTTTATTTTTAATGTTATTTTTCATCTTTATAGTGCTGGATCTTAAATCTCAGAGCTAACTGTTGGGTTTTATATATGACTAAAATATTATCATATAAATGTATATAAAGTTCTTTATACAACTAAATCATTTAATTTTTCTGTTTCCACCTTAGCAGAGTTCTTGAGTTCTGTCTTTCTGTGAAGTAGAACGCCAGACAGTAAAGAGTTCTCACTGACCACTGGTAGTGTGTTTTATTAGATTAGGATGTATGTACTACAAAGAACTCAGAATGTCTGACGGCTGTCTGTTGCTTATTGGGCTTTAATTACTAGAATTCCACAAAAATTATTTAATTACTGACAAGTTCTTGTCACAACATTTAGAACACTAAATTATAGTACATTTACCCGTCCCTATTTGTGAACAAAATATTGCAACTATCTTGGTTTATTTTTAGCTCCAGCTGATTTACAGCTAGATTGAAAATCTGAATTTCCAATCTTGGTTCATAATTATCATCAGGTTTTTGAACAGGTAAATTTTCTGTCACATCTGGCATTGATTTAGTAGTGGAAATTCTCTAATGTGTTATTTGGACTTCATCTTCATCATTAGTGTGATTCAATAATATAACAATTCAATAGTAAACTTCTTAATATAGTACAGAGCTCCTGGTAAAGCAGTTTTTCATTTAGTTATGTCTAAATATTTGGTTTTCAATGCTAGATTCACCAATTTCTATATAACTCATTGTATCTTTCAACTTAACACATTTCCTTCGTGGTTATATGGTGTTGTTCTACTTGAAATATTCCTTTAGAGTGTAGATAATTAATAAATTCTAGTGAAGTAAAGCTAGTCCTCTTGTCAGATTTTATATATGCCAGCATTCCTATATAAACAAAATAGTGATTTAATCTGTGATTGGTTTGAATTGCTTTCCTACCAGATAATGCCTGCATTTTTTTAATACTTCAACGCATTTTGCATGTTTTCATTCTGAATCTGTGAGAGTATGTGTGAAAAAAGCAATTGGTTTTCCCCCCATTGATTGCTTCGCTTATGTAATTATAGACTAAATTTATTACAAGCATGCACTTGTCTTTGTCTTCTAGGGATTTATCTTTAGATTCATTGCCTCTAAAAAATCTTGAATGTTATATACCACTGTTTTAATTCTTTGCGAATTATGAGAAAAAATTGTAGTAAAAGGCCTTTTGCAGAATTAGGCTTCTATTTACATAAAACTTGAGATACTAAGACAAAACAATTATTTAAATACTGAACCAGTTCTTGCCACAACATTAAGAAAACTAAATTATAGTACACTTGGCTGGTATTATTAATATTTCTTGTAACACACTTGGCTTGTTATTATTAACATTTCTTGTAACAATATAACATTCTTGTAATATTTTTATAAATAAAGATTTTATTCTATATTTATTTTTTAATTTTTTTAACCCACTTTGGCATTTTAATGTAATGTAAAATAAAATATAGTCTCAACATAACAAGAAAACCCAAAAAGTATACGAAAAATATTTATTATCTATAAATAAGGATTTTTCTTTATTATTTTAGGATTATATCGATTTTCCTTTACTTTAAAATGAGTTCACAATCCTAAGTAATATTACTAAACTTTTGAATTTCGCGCCATATATTTATAGTTAGGCGCCTGGTCACTAGGTGATGCGCCAATCATTGTTTTACTCGTCAACACGGATGTTTCATTGCTAGGTGGTAGTGTGCTATGTTCTTACCACCTTCTACTTTCACAGTATATTGGCAGAATGAGAAAAATACTAGCGTCTAGAACCTGACCCCATAGAGAAATAACAATAATGCAACCAACAATACACATAAATCTCATTGTCACATTCAGATGTGGATACAAATGAACTGCGCAAGTCTGCACAGAATAGTAGGTCAGGCTCCTAGACACTAGTCTGGCTGGACTGGATACTAGCCATGGGCCATGATACATACTACCCAATAAAAGAAGAAGATTATGAAGCCATAACCTAATAATTTACACGCTTCTTTTATGCTTTTTTGTAGTGAATAGGTGCAATTCCTTGTTTTTATAAACATGGTAAAAGTAAAGAAACCCTCGACACATTCGTCTAATCAGATTAAAAAAGTTACAAAGGTGAAGAGTGGCAATAAAGTAAGCAAGAAACAAGAGATGAAAAATTAAGAAGAAGTTACAAAAATTCCTTTTGGAAAAAAGTTTAATATAAATGTTCAAGATGTGGAGAATGCTGTATCCGGTGCTATTAAGTTACATTTAAACAATCCTAAGATTAAGAACCAATTATTTGACGAAGATAAATTTGCAATAAACTTAAAGCTAAACTGTCACAGAATTCCAAGAGGATATCCAAAATATTAAGAGTTCCCCTAACATTCTCTATTAAGTCCCGAAGATGATGTGTGCCTTATTGTGTCTGAAATTAAAGGTGTAGGTAACAAAGAGCATGAAAAACATGTCGATCACTATGAAAAACTTCTAGCAGATAAGAATGTCACCAACATTAAGAAAATAATGACTGTACATGAGCTGAACACTGAACACGAAACTTTTGAGCAAAAAAACAGACTTGCAGATTTATATGATGCAT